TGGAATGTTCCAATGTAGATCTTCAATTGATATTAACCAATAAAATTCGTGTGTATGACACTATAATTGAATTTCATCGGTTAACTTATTAGAATGCTCCAATGAAATTTTATTGGAGCCATAAATAGCACAACACTGCCAATGTTCACTTTGTCTGGTTTTGTTACAGCATGCCCCATACAAATTAACTTCATATTAACTATTTTTATATAAGGATAGTTCTATATATCACTTAACAAATGGGACATTATAAAACTAATTGTGATGATAATAACTAAATTTTGATCCCCGAAATTTTTGGTTCACTTTGTCTGGTTTTGTTGCAGCATGCCCCATATAATAATGATCATTCAGAAAATCCTTCAACAACTAATGGTGATCTTTTTAGTGTAAGTTTGACAAATGCATGTGAAGATTTATATAATAAAACTGAATTGAAGTGGACACTATGGCCAAGTGAAACATATAAAGAATTTATGATAGCTGTAACTCAATATCATATTTCAGATGCTGCTGCTAAATCTATGCTACAAATAATTAAAAAACATTGTAATGAATCTCTCCCTAGATCTGCTCAAAAAAGGTAGAATGCTTATGGATCAAATGGATATTAAAAATTTGAATTTTGAAACAAAGGATTTGATTGAATTTGAAGGGGAAACTTATAAATTTCAATATCTGCCTATTTTTAATGCAATTAAAAATCCTAAATCTAATTCTGATTTAACTAAAGATTTTTTACTTGATTATCAAGAACAATGGGAACTCAGTAATGTAAGTTTTGTAAAAAACATTTTATCAATTCATTATATTAAAATAACTAATCACAATTCATCATATTTTAAGAATGGGGCTTATGTATGTGTTTACTCTGAACAAAATACTGCAGGAAAGACAAACACCTTTTAGTAAAATTTTAGCAATTATGATTATATAGATGGTACAACACTTGATTCTCTTGGACAACAATCAAAATATCCTGTTTTTTTAATACTTGCAATATTCCAAATTGGTACTGTAATTTACCAGATGCCAAGGTGCTTATTGGTTTTCTTCCACATTTAATTACCAGAGATAATAAATTAAGAGTATTTAAAGAATTTAGACAAAAACAACAAGGATTAGAACAATGTGATTTAGAATATTTGCTGAATCCACTTCTAAAAAAATGGCAATAAATGGAAAAATAGAACATTTTACTCCTTATTTATCAGCTATACTTGCAGATATGTTGGAAGCACAAGATATCTGTTGTACATACAAATCATATTGTACACAGTATGCCTTATTCCTGGAGATCAATTGAATAATATGAATATTGCACAAGATTCTATTATCTAGTTTGATCAATAATAAGACAAAGTTCCTGATTAAACTGTTAATAATCAGCATGTTGTACAACATTTATGGGAAACCAACACAGAAAAATCGACCTTAAGGCTTGCTCATTATTCTCTGGAATAAGGGATTATAATTGATATCATTTTTAATTCCATGTTTAATTATAGGATTAGTTCTATAGCATTTAGGAAAACAGACAAGATACTATAAATTGTTGATAGTATAATGGCGATTTTAAACAATTTTGGACCCTGTGATCTTTGGCAGTACAAACTTTCACTTTATTGGACCCGAGCAATTGTTAGAAATCATTAGTTCAAAGTTCTAGCTTATATATATTCTAATGAATATTTTATCAATAGCAAAAATAGCTCAAGTACAATTTAGTAATAGTAATAATGATAAAATTTTAAAATAAACCTCTTTTTGCAACAAAATAAACTTTATCATTTTCTTTAACAACATGACCATTGTTTGTTAAATATCTTGAGTATTTAAAAATATAATCATAGATTTTCTTTTTTGTATCAGCAATATCTTTAAGAAATTGTTCAAGTTGATCAGCTCTCCATCTAGGTTTAATTGTAAACAATTGTTTAAATCTTTCTTTTGGTATTGATGATAATTCATCAACAGGTTGATACAATATATATTCTAACCCTTGCTCATCTTGTTTGATAACTGTACAATCCTAAAAAATAGATTATGAATATATTAATTATTATAAACATTATTAATATATATATATATATATATATTATATATATGTTTACATTGATTGTATCCAGACCAATTTCAAATTTACTTGGAACTTTTAATCTCCATTCTTTCATAAAATCATTTAAAAGCAAGTTGTTTTTCTATGTAATAAAGAATATCTTTAAAATTAGCAACATAATGATAATAATATCACCAATAAAAATACTTACATTATGCGTATCTAATAAAACTATGGCAACAAATCTACTAACTTTTGAAGGTGATAATATGAAAATTGGATCTTTATTATAAACAAAAAATGGATGATAAAATATATTTATTGAAAAAATAATTGACAAAAAATGCATATAATAGATACTATTAATCTCACCTAATTCATTTTCACATTTTGATTCTGATAACATTGAAAGACAATGTCTTATCAAAAAATCAGGAAATCCATAATCACTTATAATTTTTGAAATTTCAGATAATTTGATAACTTCAAAATTTCCTAGATAAATTCCAGACTGTAAATTTATTGCTTCATATAATTGAAGTAAATATTTTAGATCTACATATCTCCAATATCCTTTAACATAACGGTATTATATAATATTTTTAAATATTAAAACTTCTCATAATCCAAAATATGAATGAGAAAAAATTACCATCGATTTCTAAGGCATATTTTCTTTCAAATGTACATAATATTTCTCCAACACTTGCTTTTATAATACCATCTAATTCATCTAACGTGTAAAGTTTATACTTCTACAATCAAAATTATATTTATTTTTTTAAAATTTTTCAAAAAATTATAATGATCAAAATAATAAACAAATTATTACATACTTTCTTAATGTGTTCTTCATTTTCAGGCCCAGTATAAGTAGTAGGTTTCAATAATTTATTTAAAACCTCAAGTTCTGGTGGTTGTTGAATTAATTCCACAACAAATTTACGTTTCTCAACCATTTCTAATATAAATTCTGGTTTTTTCATTAATATTTCTTCTCGTTTATGTAACAATTCACTCTTTCTACTAAAATCTGTATTATTATTACTTTCAACACTAAATATATTAAAATCTTCATCTATATCCATCTTTGATCCTTCATGATTTTTAACAGGTTGAGGAACAAATAAACACATAGAATCTGTATATTCTTTTTTTTTAATTGAAAATGTTTTATCTGGTGTACAAAATACTGGCTCCTCATCTAATGATTGAGCCTTTATGCATAATCTAAAAAATAAATACATAAATATATGTAGATAAATATAATTTAACATCCATACTTCAACTTTTTTTTATTTCTATTAATATTGATGTAAATACTTTGGTAACTCTTCACCATTTAGACGTGCTTTTTCAAAAATATCATCAATTTCATCAGTAAATTCGACAAGTAAGTATTGATCTGGTTCATAATTATCTGTTACGCGAAGAGTGACCTCCATTGTTAATGTTAATTAAAATTATTGAGAAAGAACGCGCCAAAAAAAATTATAGCAATTGTCCAATTAATCACGTGTTGGCGTTCTGACATATATAATAAAAATTCTAGTTTTTATTGGCCAAATATGATTCACAAGTCCTATATTTTTGAGCGCGTAATTTTTACTTCTGTACTTCGTAAAACATATCAAATATATATAATACACATAACTATATAATGCAATGGTTAATGTACTGATTAAACATGGCGAAGAAATTAAATTTGGTTGGGAAGGGTTTCCAATTTATCATAAACAAACTTTAGAAGATTCTTTGTTTTTTTTCAAACCTGATTCTGAAAACGTGATTGCAAATAATGCAAATAATATTAATGAAGTTTCATCATTTAACAACAATAATTCATCTAATTCTAATATGAAAAGGTGCTTTACTGAGTTGGAAGAAATGATTCATTATTTTCAGATTATGACGAATCAATTGAAAACCAGTCAGAATTATTTGAAAAAAATGACAATGATGTTTCTAACAATGATGATGTTTTAGAGATTATAAAGAAAGTTAAGGTTAATGACTCATTAACTTGGAATAGTCCGATGAAAGTTCCATGTTATTCATCTAATTTAAGGAATCACCAGTAAGTACAACTTAAATGACTGTGAAATTAATTGAAAAAAGACACAAAATTTAAAAACTCATGTCATGTGACATCATAAAATTTTTTTGGGAATTTTACAAATTCCGCCCAGCGGGTGGTGAGAACCTAAAATTTTATTTGCCTTATATTTTACATATGTGCATATATAACACAAGACAAGATTGATTTGTGAGAATGATTGGATGATCTTATATTGATATAAAAAAAAGAAAAGAATTATTTTCATATAACTTGGAAATATTTATTAACATTTAACTTAAAACCAAATATATTCTTTTAATATGCCACAGAAATCTTTATTTTATATTTTTCACCATAATGTCCTGGGAAAAAATAGGTATTATTAAACAGTCTTGCAATACGATATGCATCATTTGTATCATTTAATTTAACAAGAAATTTCGAGGTAATTGAGTATTTTGAACTAAAATTTGGTTTTTGTACAACAATAATTAATTCAAAATAAAATAAATCCATTAAAAAAATTAATTATTAACAATGAAGACTTACTTTGGTAAAGGAAAAATATATTCTTGATTCCTAAGTGAAGGAAAATCAGATAAAAATTTTGATATAATTCTCGAACCAACATCCCTTGGAGTTCCTGTAATTATGACACTTTTTCCTTGACTTGGACCAAAGTTCATAACAGTACTTTTTTTATACGTTTTCCATTCATTAAGCATTTCCTCATAACCAAAGTCTTGTGCTTTCAACTGTAATTATAATAATCATTATTTATAATAATCATAATAATATGGCAAGTTTTTTAACTTTAATTTACATACAATAAAATTCATTTTCAATTGACCTCCACTACTTAAAAATTTAGTTGGTGCATACATATAAAAATTTTTTGCAAATGTAGTATTTCTGAATTGAACAATTGCTGATCCAGTGAGATTGAAAACACGATCACGAAGCATTAAAACTTTGATTGATATATTAAGTGACTCATTAATAACATGAAATTAATCTATAATTATAATCTAAATAATAAGTAAATAAATATCTTACCATCATCAATACTTTTTTGATCACCATTTACTTCTTTTGACAAAAACAAAATATCATTAGTGATTACAGTATTTGCTAATCCATCGATCCTTATGAAACGACTTGTTGCCATCATGCCTGGATTAAGAACTCTTCTGGTGTTGGAATTTGTCAAATTTCCTGGTACTTTATCCCATTGCCTTAACATGGAAGAAGGGGGTGGGTTTGATTTTATTGTTATCATATTATTGCTTAATTTACTACGTTCTTTAAGTATACTTGAAAATGAGACGGGTGAAGCTGGTGAAGGGGAAGAGGCGGAAGGAAACAATAAAGATTCTAAGGCTTCTGGTTCTGATTTTGTTTGTTGTTGGTCCTTTTCGCTTTCAGTAGAAATCGTAATTTTTTCATTATCTGGTGACGATGATGATGGTGGTAATGTTTCATTGGAATTATTGTTGTTAAAGTCGTCTAGTAATTTATTACTATTATATAAATATCTTGAAGTTATTGTTATTGTTTTTTGAAATTTTGAAATTGAAATCGGATGTTTAGATATTGTTGAATTGATGGTTGAAAAATATTTATTAAACATTTTTTCAAAAAAATTTTTTAAGAGATCAAAGATGAATTGTGAATATTTTCAGCCAATCAAATTACACACATTGTGTAACGAAAGCTTTAAATTTAATATGGTGCGTGTCACCTAAAGTCATCAAGAATTTATGGGTGACTTTAAAATGTATCTAGTCCCTCAATTTTTATGCTACAAAAAAAAGAAACCGTAAAAATGATAGATTAGAATTTCCTCTTTCAAAATTACGGTTTACTTTTTTGATTTCTCAATTATGTACAAAGTTATTAAGGTTTAAAAACACACAAGTTTACTAGTATATTTCAAATTTCGGATGCTGGTCATTCAAATTCTGTTCAATAAAATTCCTCCTAATAACAATCAATTTATGTCACACAAGAAATAACATGTAACTTTTGAAATTGAATATTAAAATATTTTACGTGTAACTTTTGAATTGAATATTAAGATATTTTACACGTAACTTTTGAATTGAATATTAAGATATTTACATCAATATTAATTAAATCATTATTAATTGTTATAAAAGTTCAATCAACCAAACAAGATAAAATGCCTTTATCTTCAAAAGGAAAAAGAAAAAGTAAAAATCAAGTAAGAAATGCAGAAGGTAAGTATGAATCAAAAAAGGCACGCCAAGATGATAACATCATTATGGATGATTACAATCATGAATTTTTTGGTACAATTGAGCATGGTGTAGTAAATTATGATAGTGATGAATTAAAAAACATTGACGCTGGTGACAGTGAATTGGATGCTGGTAGTGAAAGTGGTTGGGATGATGTAGATG